TATCATATCGCATTCGTTTAGTTTGTCTTTTTACTTCTCTCACACGCTTTTATAACACACGGGAGTGTGTTATTTAAGTGTGGGGGAGGAGCTTTGTGTTTTCTGATCTTGTTTCCTTTGTTCTTATTTGACTTTTGCATTCTTGAGTCTCATTTAGCTTTGTACATATGATAAAACCGCATCATTAACATTCTAGTTGCATCTCGCATTCTAAGATCGAGTCTAGTTGCATCATTTAGGACTGCATCAGTGCAAGGAGAAATGATAGATTTTTTTCCTAGAGAGTAAATCACTTGAGAACTTGAACTAAATATGCTTGTGAAACTCATTCTGTGCTTGTAAAGCTTGAAACGATTTGAATCTGAGAAGCAAGTCTAAATTACACTCAACTCTAACTAAGTGATAACCCTGAACTTGAATTATAAATATCTTTTGATGCATTGCTTGAATTGGCTTGTGGATACCGATATACATACTTGAGCTAGAATCATTGTTTTTACCACCCTCTTTCCTTAGCTCAAGTAGCTGAATCCACATCATGGATCAGTTCCCTCACCTTGGACCCAACTTTCTTTTCGAGCCAATGTTTGTGTGTGAATTGTAAGGCCACCTTGGACCGAACTTAGCAGAAAGTGTTAGGTTTAGAGCGACAAGGGCATGTCTCATTGAGTGCTATGTTCCAACATCAAGGAACTAAGAGTATTGGCGAGAAATAAGTGTGGGGGAAAAGATCTATTGGTGAGTGGAAAAAGGTGAGCTGAGAGAAAAAGAGAGTGTGGAGATAGCTAGGGGAATGAAAGAAAAAGAATCGAGTCTTGAATTTGAAAAGAAGAGCTCTATTGTTCTAAAAAGAAAAGTATAGTCTCTGAAATGAAAAGAAGCCAAAAAGGCTCAAGTGTTCTAAAAGGAAAAGAAAAGAGGCTAATCGCTGTAAAAGAAAAGAGCTGTTTGAATAAGTAAACACCAAGACTTGGAAATCAAAACAAAAGTGAGTCCCCTAGTGAAAAGAAAGCAATTGAGAGAGTGAGGATCTTGAGAGGGTGAGCAAGTGAGAAAAGCTTTTGAGTGGAGTGTGGGGTGTGATGAGTCCTGCCCTTGTATGCATCGGTTGCTTTTTACCTTTAGCATTCTGCCAAAGTTTGGTCGTTCATTGAGTGATCCCATTGTTGCATCGCACCCGCTTGAATATTGATGAGATCATTTTTTATCTCATAACCTTACCCTAGCCAAGCCAGCCTATTTGAACATTGCATCATTTGATTCACTGGTTACTAGCTTAATGAATGTGAAAGAGTTGAATGTGATAATGACTTTTGGAGATTCCGTGCTTTAGTTGGAAAATGTCCGAGTATAGCTTTACATTGCATATCTGAGCAAGAATCCTAGTCCTCTTTGTGATCACTTCTCTCTAAAAAGGAAATATGAGCTCCATCTGCATTACAACCTCTTCTTCTCATTTGTTCTCTTCGCTTGAGGACAAGCAAAGGACAAGTGTGGGGGAGTTGATATGTCTATATTTTACATCATTTAGAGTGCATTTTAGAGTCCTCATTATGTGTTTTCCCCATGTAAATTGAGTCTTTAGGCATGAAAATAGGATTTAGGGCTTGCATTAGATCCCAAAGAGTTTTGCATGTTTTGAAGTCCTTATCAGGTGCTTTGGGAGTCATTTGGAGCCTAAGAAGAGGAGCAGAGAAGAAGACGGTGAAGAAAAAGGTCAAAATGGTGAAAACCGCTTGGAGGAATTTCTCGGCCAAATCGCGTACCGGACGGACAGAAACCTCGGCCAAAATCCTTACCGATCGTTCAACCTCGACCAAAAAGCTTACCGATCGCTCAGCACCGACCAAAGTCCGTACCGATCGACCAAAGTCAGCCTGGGTCGAAGATCAGGTGTAAATACCGCGGGTTGAGTTTTTGGCCGAGGCGAAGGAATTTTTACGACCAAAAAGCTTACCGCGGTACACAGTCCTCGGCCATTTTCTATACCGCGGGAAGCTTTTCTCGACCAAAATTTGTCCTTGTCCGCGCGTTTCAAAGATCAGCAATCCGGGGAACCTTCCGGTCCGAACCAGTTGGCGGGGTCTTCAGCAAAGTTGGAGAAAATCAAACAAAGATCCCAGAACAGTTGGAATCATCCAATTCGGACCAGTGGGGAGAAAGATACAGCTTCCGGAAGATGCACCAACATTACGCGCATCCGAGAACCGAACGGTGGAGTACAAAGATCACGGCGGACGGAACCTTTCCGGACCGAACCAGCTTTCCCGGTCTTCATCAAAGTTTGAGATCTTTGAAAGACCTTTTCAGAACGGTTGGGATCGCTAAATTCGGACGAGTGGTTTGAAAGATAAAGTCTCCGGAGTTCACATCGGTCCAAACAGCTTATTTCCCGGTGATTCCAATGCGGTTCAAAGATGTGAAATCCAGGAAGCCTTCCACTTCCCAAGCTCCGACGGTTTCTTCACCAAAGTTCGATCTTATTGAGTCATCTTGACTATGGAACTGGTCTCAGAGCATTTGGAGTCGTGGGTTGAAAGTTACTGTTTCCGGGAGGTGACATGGTCGATACGAACCCAAATATGTTGCGGTACGCGCTAAGTGTTTTCTCAGGGCTCGGCATCGTTACCTCGACATCGGCCAAGTCAAGGCTCATATTTTGGGAGTATTCTGAACTAGGCCTCGTGCTGACGCCTCGGCACGTTGGAATCAAGGCATGCACACGTAAAAAAATGAAGCTGGAAACGACTAAGTGTTGAACGTGCACCTCGGCGCAATGACCTCGGCGTGCATGCCGGCCCCTGTTCGCTCAAACCCCTCGACTACCAAGCGCCTCGGCATTTCATGCCGAGGTCCATTGTCACGAACCCAGAATCAAGAACAAAGCTGTCCAAGAACACACACATGAAGATGGATCGAAGACTAGGGTTCATGCATGTTCTTGACGTGTTCTTCACGAGATCTTCATTTGGATCTGGACTCACGTGCACTCCTCGACATGAAGACCTCGGCTTCACTCTCCGACACACCGTGGCACTCACCCATCAACCCAAGAACGCGGTTCAGTACCCGGTTTGTTCCGAGCTGACCCGCAACACTTTACCTTTGCTATATATACATTTTGAGACTAAAAACCTAATCATCTTATCTCTTATCTGTTTTTGGCTTTAAGAACTTACCTCTTTTGTGAAACTTGATCAGTCTAATCCGATATCTCGTTTTTGCATCAGAAATCTTGTTCTTTCTTTATTTTCTTTTGTCATCTATCATTAAACTCCTCATCATGACTAGCTACACGTCTTGCAAAAGACTTAGTGAGCTCGTTATGATTAGTGAGTAGTCGTTTAAGCGGCTTTAGACGAGTAGATTAGGGTGCTTTCAAGGTAGATTAGTGGGTTTAGGTGTCTAGTCTTGCATGTTTCATTCTTTAACCGACGAGATCTCTAGGCTGGATCCAAGCACATCACTTGAGGTTCAGATCTGAGACATATCTCGCATCAAAAGTGTTTGTAGAAATGTCTGAACCACTCGGTTATGGGTTTAAGAGTCTTTCATCGCGAGAGTGATAGTTTGTTCTCTTAAATGACATTTTTGAACTGATTCTTATTGCTGATTGATTCGACGCTTCTCAAAAGACATTTTTGGTATGAAGGAGGATCAATTTAGATGCTTAATACTTTCATGAGAAGATTAACATGCCTTGAGTTCAAAGTTAAATGAAACCGCTTGATGTTTTGATTCATTAACCCACTAGTTGAACTTGGAAGCACCCGAGTCAAGTATCTCGTCTAAAGTCTCTTGCTTTATTACATATTATCATCATCTGAATCGCTTAGTTATTATTTGCATCCTGTCTCTGTTTAGATCTAATCATTTGCTTTACCTTTCATGCTTAGTCGTTTGTTACGTAGCTTAGTTCAAAACCTTCACCTTTTGTCTTGACTTAAATGAACAAACATCATAGTCTAGTGTCTCGTTGACTTGTCTGGATTGATACCTCTTTGTACTACTTCGACAAAGGGGATTGATAGCCCTGAGACCTAAAAAGTCTTATCTATCACACGCAAAAGCCTAACAAGGTGTAGCGGATCTAGAAATTTTTTTGAGTGTGGGCATATTAAAAAAATTGTTTTTAGAGGGATTCGAACCAGTGGATAAAGTTTTTGATGCCAATTAAGCTGTGAAATCTTCATTAAATTGTATGTAAATAATTGTATTTGTGTAAAATTTACGGGGGGGCAGCTGCCCCCACCTTACATAACCTAGATCCGCACACCGGGACTCAACCATGCAGCCAGGGCCAATAGCCACGTCAGGCCCAATCAAACATCGTTTTCCAATCTCTGTTGTTTCATCCACAAGAACATTCCCTAAAATGTGTACATGGACCAGTGGCTAGCTTTAAAGGCGATTATTTTCCTCAAAGAGTCTAAATAAAGTCTTAGACCGGTGATGTAGTCTTTGTGGTTGACCAATGTGACGCACCATCGCTTAGAGCTTTCCCGCTTTGGTGATCTTAAGGGAATATCTCTTTCTCGATTGAAGTCGGTCTTAGCTCAGATACGATCAAGACCAACAGAACAACAGAATTTATATTTTAAACTAGCTTCATTTAACTCGCGTTCTCTACAAGCATCTTCATTGTACCTTCTGATGTTGGTCTTTTTTTACATTTTTTTTTCAAAAGCATTATCACGCATGCATGTTCTTCCAACTCCAGCCATTTCACTTACCCTTACCACCATCTTCAAACGTCGTTCATCATATTTTTGTGCAAAACACCTGAAATGAATCATGATGCACTACAATATATATATGGAATCTTAATTGATGAAACAAATATTTTAATGTAAACGCGAAGAAGATCTGACAGTAACAAAGTCAGAGTGACTCACTTCACACCTGGTGCAAGAAAGTGTAAGATAGTCAGAACGATCTTCACGCTCGCTTGGTAACGAGTGAGTTCTTCTGATACAAGAACAATAGACGAGAGAAACGAGATCATCAGATTGGATTAGATTTTTTTTTGCTAACTTGTAAATATCATATAAAATGAAAGTTGGGTGTTACAAAAGTACAGCCCCTATACATGAAACTTTGGCAAAAAAGAAAGTAAAAAACAAGGCAACAGATTGATTTTAACCCACAGAAGATTTCGAAACACTTAGTGAAGCCACCGCTGCATTAAGTTTCCAAAATGCTTGCGTTGTCTTCTCGCTGTGATGGTGTTCTTGATCTGCCTATCAATTCCCTTGAAAAGAATAGCAGCAGTGGTAGCCTGATTTGTAAATATTCTGGTATTCCTCTGGATCCAGATGGAATAGCAAATCGCTTGACCCACCAGTTTGCGCAGAGTCGACGGAGCTTGTATTAGATTACAACAACAATATATTACGAACGAAACAATATTTTGAGTATCTCATTAGTAACCTCATTGGATTTAGACTACCTTAAAATACATAGATCAAACAAAGTATACATATTCGCTTCATGAGGAAATTAATGTTTGTCCAAAACATTTAATAACATTGTTTGAAGAAGAATTATTATATGAGATTCAAATTTAATAAATATTAACTGGTAAATGAAGAAATATACTTCACGTTCATCAAAATATACACTAATATGTGTGCTTATATATGATGTTATAATGATAGTTTCGAGAGCTTTGGATGCTTCTTATATACTTTCAAAGTGAACAAAAGAGAAATTTTTCATAGGAAGACAAGCAATTAGAGTGTTTAAATTTCAAGCTTTGATCTTATCTGCCATTGAATTTGTCATATAACAGATATGATAAAAATTAATATATAATAGAAATGACAAACATTTACAGCAAGTGTCACTACGTCATTGCAAAACAGAAATGACTAGCATTTTGCCCAACTCATTTTTTTAATAAAAGAGTTTGGAATCAGTACCTTCTCTTTCACAGCTTCCTCCCTGTCTGAGTTTTGCTATTGTTTCTGTGACAAGCTGGTTGCTGCACCAGTTACATTTCAACGACGTTGTGTTAACAGAGCTAAACTGAGAATTTGAAATTTGCGATTTTGATGGACCAAGCTATGTACTTTCTGATACTTACTGTATGATGCTGTACAATTTCAGGTTGCAAAAGAAGCTTCTGATATGGTTCTTGCAGATGATAACTTCAGTACTATCATCTCAGCTCAACAAGTGGTTGTCTCCATTCAAACTGAGAGGTGACTATAAGTATAATCAGTAGAAAGACAAGCAGGATCGGCTTCGACATTGCTATTTTTCCAGTTGTTTAAAACACCTGTTCCCAAAACAATCAAGAAGAATTAGCCCAATTCATAATCCTATACACCAGAGACCCAGAATCAAAACTGCAAAGCAAATTTTAAAATAAAGCAATTTCTTTAGATAAATCTGCAACTAATAGAGTCAAGTAAATAGCATATTAAGAGCTATAGGGCAAAGAGAGACAACGACGCATCGACCTCTAAAAAAGCAAAATTTCCATTTTTAACTTCTAACCCTTTCCTCTACATACACACTAGCGAAGACCCAACAAGGCGATATAGATGATTACGAACTTACAGATCGAATTTGATCAGACGAATAGCCAAACTTCATGATCGACCTCTCTAGGGTTTTTCGTCGGGGTCGTAAATGCAGAAATTTATCGAGATTTTCTCAAAATCGATTCGAGATCAGATATTTTTGAAGGCGGAATTGTAAACACCATACAAGTCCTAGATGAGTGTTTAGTAGAGCGATCAAAGGAGATGATGCAAAGCTGAGGTTTAATCTGATGAAGATATGAATGCAAAATTGTTTTCTTTGTAAATGAAGGATTAATGTTTCAGGTAACCCCCACAATTGTTTTTTGTCTGCTAAAAAAGACCACATCTCTTGTTCTTGTTAGTAGTTTTAGCTTTCATTTTGAAAATGTCATTCAAACACCCCTCAGTTCTCTCGTATATAAAACCAGGCCAAAGAAAATAAATCCAAAATTAGAAAACAAGCCAATTAATTTTAAAAAATACTCTCAATGTTTGATAATACCAGTTTTTTTCTTTTTTTCTGGTAGTGATACCAGTTTTTTTTCTTTCAAAAAATAAGATCTTCTTACATTTCTATGCAATCTTTTTATTTAAGTGTGACTAATTGTATTTTTGATGAAAAGTAATTTTTTTAATCTTTATGCTTCTATTTAAACCAACCAATTTATATTATGAAATGGAGTATTATTAGGTAGAAACTTCAGTCCAATTACAAACAAAATGTTCATTAATTTCTACACCAAAAGATATAAAATTTTTTTTTTGGATATCTAAACAGTTAGGATATCCAAAGAAAAAGTATGAAGTTTGATTCTCAGAAAATACAATTTACCAGATTAATGGAGGGACACTCATACAAATTTACAAAGTAAAAAATAAAATTGTATGTCAAAGCTCGTGAGTATAGTACATATATAAAGTAATAAGCTGGCACATACCTCTTTCTTAGATGGAATGTCATGTTCTCTTAAGTGATGATTTGTCCACGCCTCAGTCTCCGTCTTTCTGAGACTTCTCGATCCCACCATGTGAGCGCATTCTTCGTGAGTTGTGCTACTGCTAGAGACACTTTCTTGGCCTCTGAATATTGGTAGTAATCAAAGATATGATCCATTCTTCTTTTCCAGTCTAGGTAAGCCTCATGATTACCTTTTCCAGCAAAGGCTGGTGGAGTAAGTGATAACACCCGATTTTGACCACTTTTGACCATTGATTTCAAATGCTTTTTTCAAAGGTTTTAATTAGTTTTAAAAACTTTTATTATGATTTCCATGTATTTGTATTTTCAAGGCTCTTTTCAGAAAACTTAGGAAATATGATGACAAAATAGAAGAAATTTACATTTTTAGCTCAGAGTCAGACCGTCAGAAGTTCAGCCTCAAATGAAGACTTTCTCACTGTCTGATCCAACTCAAATTAGGAGACAAATAAGAGGAGACAACCAGCTTTCCATAGCACTTTACATCACAAAGTTCAAACGGTGCAATAAAAAAATACATGGAGAACAAGTTGACCTAGTTCACCAGTCCCGAAAGACTCTCACCCGTGTGGGAAACACATGTTTTACCTGTCCTGGAAGAATCTCACCCCGGTGGACCTTAGGACGAGCCATAAGGCCCAACATCAAAGCCCACTTCGTCATTTCTCTTCAGAGAAGCCCTAAATGAGACCTGGAAGACCTTAAGACTTATAAATACATTGTTTAGCAGCCCTAAATGGGTGTGTGCTCCTGTAATGAGATTTTGAACCACCAAACTCTGTTTTTTAGGGTTAGACGATGGAGATGGGGATTCTTCTCCAGATCCATTGTTCTTTCTCCTTTCTATCTTATTAACTTTTCTGTTTCATTCTTTTGCATTCTTCTGTCTTTCATCATTCAATGCATCATATAGATGAGTCCCAGAGAGTCAAGTTGTTTGAAGATATCAACAAGCATATATATCGATTAGGATTTCATTGTTCCTAGCCATATTCTGATCTCATCTCTTCTAAATTATTCATAAAGCATGAGAGTAGACTCATGACCTATTCTCTGAGCCTAGGATCGATCAGAGCCATGAGAGTGCTATATCAGATCATCGGTACCTAGCTTCAGAAGAACATAGTCGCTATAGGAGTCGAGAGCTACCTATAGAGAAGATGTGAGCAGACGAATTCAATGTCTAATGCATAATCTTAAGTTTAGCATGAGAGCGAGAGTTAATTTATAGATCTAAGAGACTAGTTGATTAAGGTGACGATATTTTGTTAATCATATATATGTCTATTCTTGTTCAATGCAGATTCCCAGAAACAGATGAATATAAATCGCCCGGAAGCTAATTGGAAATGCCATCATACATCAATTAGAGTAAACCGGAGAAATCTAAATTGTCACCTATGAGTTTAAGAGTCTTTAGTTTGAGTCGATATGCTTTAGATGTTCTTTTAACAAATTCATCTTTCATTGCATTTCTTTTGAGTACTAGATTAGGTTTGTTTTAGGATCTTAACCAAAAACCCCAAATCTTTTATTGGTTTATGAGTTTGCTTACTTCCCAGTTTGTTGTTTCTCGCAGATTAGACATCCTCCCTGTGGATCGACACCCTAAGTCCTATAACGTACATCTGTGCACTTGCAGACACTAGGGTTTTATAAAATTAAAATTTTTGGAGGACCAACGGGCTTGATAAAAAATAACCCTAGGCCCGCAAGCCCATCAGTAAGCTTAAGGTCTTTGTTGCCATATCTCTCGTCTTCTATATATCTCTCGGCTTCTTTCCCTTCTACGGCGCTGAGGTTGGTCTAGACCGTGATTATTTTTCCTCCTTTGTTGTTGATTTGGGTCGGGTGGTTGATCTTCGTCGAGGCCTGGCAGGTCTTCATCAGATTCTTCCTCACCATAGTCATGTTGTTGCCTTGGTTGCTCCCTTGGTTGGTTTCCATTGTTGTTGGGTGGAGCTTGTGGTGGCAATCGTTGCTCCATGAGGTTGAGATGATCACTAAGGCTTCTCATATCGTCTAGTAGCTGTTGCATGGCATCCGGTAGTTGAGCGGCGTTGTCTCCCATGGTTGGTGTCTGCGTACAAGGACAGACAAGGGATCAAGTGCAAAAGGGTTCTTAGTAGAATAATAAAGGATAAAAAGGTGCAAGGGAAATTCGATGCTAAAAGAAATTGGCTATGTATTTTTTTTTTGATGTTAAAAGAAACGAGATAATAAGATGTAAACTTTTCTTTTCTATTTTTTTTTATACGGGATTATGAGACTTTCCTTTTTCGGCTAATTAGGTTTTCTCGATGGCTACTCGTTCTAGCAACGAGCAGCAACGAAACGATGCTAGGATTGGTGCTAAGGAAATCGATTCTAGAGATGTGGATGAATGCTTAAGACTATATGCTATGAATGTAGGCGGATGACATAGAAACTCTTCTTTTTTTTTTAATGAGTATGCGACAAGAAACTAAATGCAAAAGATGTAACCTAAAGGTATGAAAGGATAAAACCTGGTTTGGAACCTTTCGGCTCTGATACCAGATGATATAGGCATGGGCCTATGGGTAGTGATGGATCCTTGTTGCTGGTTGTGTAACTCTCTCAACAAGAAGAATAGATGACTTCGAGGTGGAAGTGGATGGGACTTGATCAGCTGGTTGTGTAACTCTCTCTGATTAAGTCAAGAGATGGAATGGATTGATGCACACAGTGAAAAGGAAGGTCACAAGAAGGCTCTATGGACTGAACTCTGATAAGACCGGCAAGGGATGGATCAAACACCAGCTCTCAAGAGAAGAATCAAACACCAACTCTAAGACGAATTCAAAGAATCCAAAGACAAGTCTATTGCTTGAAGAAGTGCGTTATTTTATTGATGCTAGCGTAAAAATACAGGGCTGCTTATAAGGGACTTTATAAGAGAGTCTGACGCTGCTTTGCCCTTCCTGGGGACCTGAAGCAAATACAATAAATGACACAAATTCTGGGACTCTAAAGAAGCGAGTACAGACTCATGCAATAAGTAGAGAAATTAATATTCTAAAACTTAAAACTATGAATAGAACCTGTAAAACAAACCAAAGACAGAAAACCAAGTTAGGCAAGTAAATAATTGTATTCATTAGCTTACCTTGGTGGATTGGACGGCTATGATGGTCTTAGGTTGGCGTGATGATGATGCTGAACAGGGACACTTCCTTGTTGGGTCAGAGAAGTGGCAATTCAGTTGTTGGGCCGTCTTGTATAATATAGGCTTCTTCTTCATTAGACTCTTCCGGGCTTCTTGATAACACTAGATTTTGACCATTTTTATGGATCACTTTAATATCTTTTACAGGTGTTTTTACTCCATTTTCAAAGGTTTTCAAAGGATTTCTATGTTTCCGGGTTTTAAAAGACTTTTCAGGTAATTTGGGATAAAGAGGCACAAAATGGAACAAAAAGACTCGTTTGGATAAATGCAGACCGTCAGAACTCTCATAGAGAGACGAAGACCTTCTCACCATCTGATCACCCCCAAAATTGGACAACTTATAGAAGAATCAACCAGCTTTCAAATGCACTTGGTTTGGAGACATTTCAACGGTTGGATCTCAAGATATTCCATTAGCCCCGGAGCTACTCGAAGTCGGCCAGCAAGTCACGCGACCGCGGCCAACAACCTATTTCCCGCGGTCAGAAGCTTCCCGACCGCGGCCAACCAACCAATCCCCGCGGTCACGACACACCCGACCGCGGAAATCAAGCTCCGAATCAAAGCCCATGTATCTGAAGCCCAAAGTCATTCTCAGCCTCAATTCCGGAACCCTAGAGACCATGGAGTATTGGAGACTATAAATACATGTCATTTAGGTCGTTTTTAGAGAGAACCCTTCATAATTTACATAAACCCTTTTTCTTTAGCCGTTTTTATGAGATTTTTGTAGAAGATTGTTCAAGTCCGAGTTCTTCAATAGAGAAGCTTTCTTTATCTCTTTTCTTTACTGTTTTTCATTACTTTTATTAAAACCGATGATGATGTCGACCTCAGCCATGTCTGAGTAGATCCCGAGTTGGGCTTAGGGTTCCCGAAAGGGGCTCTCATAATCAATTAAGACATCTAGGTTTATAGATCTGGGATTTCGACTTGTTCTCTGTTTATTCTTGTTCTTATTGCATGTATGCTTGATTGATCACCTAGTATCTGATCTAGATAGTTAGTGTTGCAAAATTTTTCATTAAGTATCAGCCCTAGAATGAAACAGGTGATTTTTCCGTAGGAGTGGAAACCTACCTGCGGCGAGATCGTGAGTATTGACGAGTCTTGTGCAGCTCTTGCGTT